ATGCAGTCCTCCAAGATGACAATCATAGTGGTTCCAGTTCTTCAAAGGACTCTGCACATGCTCACATCAATTCACAATGGGGAAATGTCTGCATTTTGCACAACTGGACCCACATTAAGTTGCAGACAGAAACAGAAGAAAACAGCTATAGAACATTTTCATTATGCAAAGCCAACCTGAGATAAAGCTGCACTTAGAAACCTACATGTTGCATTTCCAGACTTTCTGGATAACTTTATTTGTTTCTGATTGCGTAGCTCAGCTGTTGAAGGATTTGTGTTTACACTTTCAGTACACATTCCTTATTTTTTTAAATTAGTACTGATTAACATTTTTTTAAGTGACAGAAATTAATAAAAGTATACAGTTTTGCACTGTAAGCAATATTAACCAAGGCTAGGGCACAGATGGCAAACTGTTAGCTTCCCCCAAGGGATAGCTGATGGTGCAAGGAGTATACAACAAGGTGGGTGATTGAATTGTCTCAATCCTGGAGTTCCGTACCTAAAAGAGCTTCTCTAATTTACTGCAGCGTGCCCTTACTAACCAATGATTCTGATGCACATTGGCAATGCATAGGGGGTGCATGCACACCCCCTGAGCTTGGTGGTGCACCCGCTGTGAAAAGGCACCATTGACAGTGCTGGCAGCGTTTGTGGGCAGTCAGTGCTTGCCACCCCATGCCCCTCGCCGCTGACACTGCTGGCAGTGTGTGCGGACAGTCCGAGATCACCACTGGCTGCCACCGATGCTGCCAGCGGCAGCTGTAGGTGGGTTCCAAACACCAACTGCCAGTCGGTGCTTTCCACCCCTCCCCCCACCACCACTGACAGCGCCGTGGGCAACTGCCGTACCCCCGCCGCTTCCGGGAGCACACGGCGTTCAGGCTGATGCATGGGGCCATGTCATTCCCTAATATCTTAGGCACAGTGAAATCAGGTTCATTGTCAGTCTTTTGCTGTTCTTACAGAGTATACACTGGCCTACTTGCAGCAAACAACACAGATATGGGGGCCTGAAACAGTGAGATTGCAGTAGTTGAGATAGGTAGAAATAAAGGCAAAACACAAGCACTCCTAAATAAAGAAAAATCAGCTGCATCTCCAAACTTATTAGCTAACCACATTAAATAGCACATGGAACCCTAACCTTGGTGACAAGCATCCTTGGACTTCGACTAGTACATGCTGCATACCAACACATCCAACACATCTCTGCTCACTATATCACTCTTAAGAGTGAGGCTAGAGACCATATGTTATTTCTGTACCTATTAAAAACTGTCCAGATTAAAGCAGCTTGCTGGTATGTTCACTAATGATACAGCAGATCGTTCACCATTATAGCTTAAAACTGATTGCCTTTCTAATGGTTTATGGCTGTATCTTCATTATGGAAAAAATTGTATTTTTAGCCTGTGAGCTAACTTGTCTTAACTAACTAGATAATATGAGAGATACTATAAATGCCTTGTGTCAATTGGAATTGTAATACATGTTATCAAATAGTTAAAACTACAAGTTTTCTTCCTTCTACGACACTAAATCTTTAGTACTTTACCTTCTGAAAAGAAAAAGAATAGTGAGAGGTGTGAACCAGATACGATTATGAAAACACTTTGATAAAAAGAGCTGAATGGATTATATTTGATCTGAATATTAACAGTTTGATCCTGCACACCCATGTAGGTAGTGCATGGGTATTACCATCTTGAAAAATAAATTACTTGCCTAAATAAGGCATTATAGAGTCAGACCCTAACAAAACAGAAATAGGTGACTCATTCGATAATATTCCAACTCAATTGTTGATTATGCAGTCACATGCATATGTTTTATCTTTATGCAAGTAAACTGAGTCAGTGAAACTGCCTTTGTACATAAAGTTATACATGTATATTTGTGTTTGAAGGCTTTTTACCCAATCCAGTTTCCCTTAAAAATACATATTTACTCAAACACAAGATGAGTTTTTTTCCCCCCAAATGGCACGAGGGAAAAAGCCTCTTGTCTTATAATACAAGGAAATCTCAATAAATACATTGTCTATCATTAAACTGCTGCCAAAAGAAGCATGTGCTCACCACCGGAAACCAATTATGAAGCTGATTAAATGCAGCCAACACTGAGCTTGACTTAAGACACATAGCCCACATTGAGCAAACACACTAATAGGAACCTACCTCAAGGATAGCTTAGCAGCGCACATCTGAATAAGACCTCTTATGGGTAGTGCCCATTAAGCACAGTCCCCCTCAGCACCAAATATTTTTCAAGCCATGTTGAGCCACTACATTGCATATAGTTCACCCAGAATCCTTCTGTTGCTCCCTCTCTCAGCTTGGCATATCTGACTAGTGCGACCTGACCTTCCATGAGGTGAAGCCAGACCAGGTTGCCCTGCACCTCATTTGCATATAAATTTTTGGAGCATCCCAGACTACCCAGTTCAAATCATGAGAGAGGACTAATTAACATATGGATCCTTTTTTGGGGGCATCTGGAGTAGACACATACTGAGCAGTGCTGAGCTGTAGGGTCACCCTGGCTTGAAATGCTGCTGACCCTGGTGGGTCCCAGCCCAATGAACTGTATTATAAATCCTTTGGTAAAGCCTTTGGCTTTGACCCAAAATTATGAATAGTGGGCTCAGCGATCAGCTCCTGGGGGACACCCCCCACGTCCCGTGGCATCCCCGCCCTCCTGCTCAGTGATCGGGGGGGGAGCACAAATGTAAGCATTGGCCCCCAGGCACTGGATACCCATGATACGCCACTGCTGCACAGTAGTTTGATACTACTGTGCAATAGCGTGTGGCAAAAACCATGCCAAGACACTACTGTGCCATAGCATCACTTAAAAGGCATTTGCCGACACTACTGTGCAGTAACTCTGGTTCCTATGCATTTATTTGGTACTTGCTTATACAAGTACTAAATAAATGGGCAATAACCACTGCATAGTAGCATCTCATGTAGGTGCACCCAGTTTGTCATATTTATAAGTAGGTGCCAAATGCTGCTCAAAAGTCTGTTTATGGAGTGCCTGTGCTAAAACTTCCTCTAAAAGTTAGGAGGAAGCAAAAAAAAAGGAAGGGCCATCTGACGCCCCCCCCCCCGATTTATTTTTTCTGCTGTAGCAGTGGAAGGGTGATAAATTCAAGGCAAACCTAACCTCCAATATCTAGATTCTGTACCTGGAAAATTATAACAAATATCTGTTTTCCATATATACAGAATATAATTATTTGGGGGCTCATCTTATAATCAGGGCCATTTTCTATTTGTGCAAATACAGTACTACAGAATTTGTCTTTCTATAGTTTATTTTTCAACATTCCTGTCAGGAATTCAGTTGCAACAGAAACAGTTCCAAGGGGAAGAAGGACCAAAAACCAGACCAAAACATCCATTTCTTATTCTGCATTTTTTTTGTGAAAAATGACAAAGAACGATACATTGTAATCAAAGATGGCACAAATTAGAAAATTGGCTGGGCCAACAAAACATCTCTGTACCTTTTCCTTGAAAACACCAATTAATCATCCTTTGTGCCCTTACTGTATGTGGTATTTCCCACACTGAGCACTCCTCTGGATGTGCAGTATAACATGAAAGAAGCTGAGCAAGGATAAGAGGAGGAAACTAGCAAAATAGCTGGCCCAGTATGTCAGTGTAATAGTTCCTTGCTGTTTGGTGGTATTGACAGGAAACAGAGAATTTGACCTCCATCATTTCCCCCGCCAGCAAAAGAGGGCCTGACCCAAAGCCCATTGAAATCAAAAGATTCCCATTCATATCTGAAAACGAAATATTTGGTATGTAGTGTGTTTTGAATCAGTCCCTAAATACAAACCTGCTGGTGGGTAGGGACTACATTCCCATTCTCCTTTTTTTGACCACGTTTTAAGTTTTCCCAGGCTTTTGAGCAAATGAATTACCTATACTTATAACTGAACAGAAGTTCAGCACAGACGGGTTTAAAAATGGCAGATCCCAGCCTAAGGTTTGCCCTTCTCCCTCAACGCTACCCCGCCATGTGAATTTGTGTTCTTTTCACTACTGATCTAAACTACACCACTTACAGAGAACCACGCAACTTAGATTGATTCTGCCTTGTGCTTTTTGAATGTCTGTACCCAGCCTGAATGACCTACTAGTGATGGCCACAAAATATTTGCCACACCTTGAAACAGGAGGGCTGTCCAACTTCATGGCTGCATGTGACACAGGCTGCAAAGCACATGGACTACATGCCACAGGGGCGCCACGGGCTTCCCAAAACCTACACAGTGTGCACCCTCCCCACTGTGCAAGCAGTGCAAGCTCCTTACCACCTCTGCCATATGAGCTCCCCTGCTACCGCCTCTCCCCCTGCCACCACTGCTATGTAAGCAGCACAAACTTCCCGCTGAAGACCCCCACTGGTGCATGGGCAGCAAGCCCACCAGGTTTTCTGCCATGCTGTCCTGCCCCATAGACCCCAGCTGGCACAGCAACAGCAACCAGAGCAATGGGAGCAGTGGTGGCTGGACAGGAACCTGGGGGGATGCATGTTAACCCTTTGTGGGCTGCCAGTTGGATGGCCATAAAACAGAGTATTGGTGCAAAATATCTGAAAATGAAATGCTATGTTAGAGTAATTTGCATTAGCAGAAACCACTCTAAACAGCAATACCTGTATTTAAATTATAAACTAATACATGATAGATAATTATATTAGTAATAGGATCATTCTAAAGGGTTCACAAATTGAGTGAGTTCTAGCATGAGTTCAAACTAAGCTAGCCTTAATTAAGGCTGGTGCATCATTTAATATAAAAATAATGAACCAATAAGCAACAATAAGAGACTCTGGTCACATCTAATTCCACAAATACGCTTGCCTCCAAAAGCTTTGCATGGAGGAAAACATTCCTGAAAATGATACAAATGGTTTTGACATTAAGAAAAGTAAACAAGGAGGCAAAATAAAGATAGAAATATCATGTGGTCAGTTTGCAAGTGCTTTTTATTGTTTGAGGCAGGGTTAAGCCTTTTATAAAGACAAGAACACATATGCAACTAGACTGAATGTGATATTAGGTTATTCCAAACACCCCTGCTTTGAATCTTGCTGACTGTAATATGCCATGGCCAAAATGTGCTGATACTTCAAAATAGACACCGTGATATAAATTAGCTAGGATAGCATTGTGCTGTTATTTTGGAAACCAATTTAGAAAGCAGGCATCCTGATTTCTCATATTATTTTACATAAGAAGCGACATCCCTAAATACCTCTCTCTCATATTTCTAAAAGCTTTTAATCAAAATTTGATTTACTATGCACAAAAGCAAATTAGCCAAAACTAAGACAGTACAAGAGGAGCAGCTACAAGGGGCCACAATGTACTTCCTCACAATTTGTACATTGCTCACAATGCTCTTCATACTCGCTGTTGGTACATTATATTATTAGGTCTGGCAACTTGATTCACAATAACAAAAGGAATTGTTGCTCCAAATATATCCACTCCATTTAAAAAAGCTTGCAACAAGCTAAGGATATTTGTATTAGGTATCAAAAACTTGACAGGAGCCACGTTTATGTCATTTGAATGTACATTAATATAGGATTCATAATTCCCTCAATTTTACCTTTCCCTCCCCTCTAAATGTCATCCAAGCTCAGTAATGGTTTTTATTTTTAGGGCTTTCCCCCTGCCCCTTCAAACCATCCCCCCCACCTCCCCACAGTTCAATACTTATCTAAATTTAATCTCTGCCCAAATTTAAAAAAATAATTGTGAAATACAAACAGCCACTCCTGTATTTTTTTTTGCAAAGAAATGCAGTTAAACAGGGGGTTCTCTGTGTTACCTGTTCTGCGGCATTAAATATGACCTCCTTTTCTCAATGTTAAGATTTAGTAAATCTTGAGATTCTAATCAAAAGAAAGATGCCTAGGTTCAGCTGCATCTGTAAAATTGCTTAGATACTTCTTCTTAAACAAAAAAAAATACAAATTCATAGGGTTTTGCATTTTGAGAAATATTTAAATATGACATGACTGACTGCATACACCCCCCACAAACTTTTAATTCTGATATAAAGCTTGAAGAGGATTGTGTGCATGCCTGTCTAAGAAATTTAAGTATTTAATTCATGGGGGGAAATATGAACAGATAAGGGGTTTTTAAATCTTAAATTACAGCTATTGCTTTTATAAACATATTGATACTGCCAGCTTCTCTCACTCAACAGGCGAGCTTTAGATAAAAGCATTACTCTTGCTAAAAACCAACTGAGCATGCTCAGTGAAGCCCCAGGTGTGACCTTTGCTCTTCTGTGAGCAGCAATTGGACCAGGCAATCCATCATGGTGTTCATCCTGTCAGGCCTGGTGCTTGGCTGCAGCTGTCTGTCACACTGGTGGATGGGACCTGCTTAAAGGCAATCATGTCAATCTCTATGTGACTACTCAAACTAAGACAGAAGGATGATCTTGACAGGCTTGGCAAAGTCAGCAGAAGGTACTGGAGGACTTTAGTTGCATGCTTAAAATGCAGATGCAATTTGTGCTTTTTGTGTGCATTAGTGTGGATAGTTTGAAGTGGCACAGAATGGTGTTGCATTTTAGAGCTGGTCATCTCGGATGAATCTGTTGCCTTCTGAATGCTTCCCATAGTAAACGTAGCGACATTTTCCTAGAACACCTACAGCGACAAGAAAACAAATTAGATTAAGGTCAGCAATTAACACAGTATGTAATAGAAGCGTATTACTAAGGTGTTGTAGGGAGGAGGATTAAACTACAGGGGGGAACAGCTCTCTCTCTCTCTCTCTCGCTGTCTGCTGAAAACAAAGTATGTTAATTTGAAGTATTTTATATTTTACTGTTCTAATTAATGACTGTGTGGTCAGCTTTGCAAACACACATCTGAGTATCTGCATGATGCATCCTGTTACACACACATATACAAGTGTTTTCACGATCTGGTATATAAGCAATACACTTGACTGCCTGTATACTGTGTTTTAAATTATTTCTGTACTGTTTGTGGAGTCTGACTAAAGATAGATTCTCAGATAGTGTTGTAATTTTGTAGCTTGTTACCCCCCCGCCCAAAAAACATAATATGAAGATAAATCTTTTAAAGTCTCATAGTTTTACAGGTGTTAATCAAATGATAGCAAATTACTATTAATCAGCTTGCCATCAAACTAGTGAAAAGCTCTGCTCAGACGTCCACAAAGTCACGCTTGCAATAACACTGTAATGTAAGCAATTAGCATTATCCTCACTTTGCAGAGGCAGAGAAGTCTAGTGATCTGCCAAAGGCTAGAAGACTAGTCATTGACAGAATGGGTCTACAATCTAGGACCTCCCATCTGTCCTAATGTTCTACTGCTTCCCCAAAACTGTATTCACAACCAATTCTCCAAATGATAGTACAAAAGAAAAAAGAATGTTGTGAAACTGCAATGGATGGATGCATACAATGAAGTGAACCCCCCCCAATATTTTCTAAATATAAGCTGCATTGAGTCAGAACATTGCTTAACGGGAAAAGATCCACAGTCTTTAGTATGGGTGGAAGAAGGGATAATAGCTATAAAAGCTATAATGCATCTTGGATGCAGGATAAAACATATTCACTAATACAACTTGCTACCGTACCGTACAACTACCATACCAAAGTTGCTCCTTTGCGCTACCTGCCAGGTGGTGACAGCTGAAATGCAGGGAGCCAAGGGGGAGCGATTATGTCAGATACTAGCAATGTCTCCCTTTGCCCCTCCAAGCTCAGGAAGTCAAATTACAGTTGTCTCCTCTGCAGTTTTGGTAGGTGCAAGATCTTTTTGCCTCCTGCTATCTTGGTGTGTTTTGAAAATGATCATCCCTGTAGTATCTAGCTCACATACAAAAGGACAACCACAATCCAACCCAAAGGAAACAAATACTCCTTTATATATAGCGCAAAGCCTGAGCAAAGTATATTCTCTGTTTATTGCACAGTTTTATATTTTCACACCCTACCTGAACAAATGGGAACCTTAAAAGCTGTGCTTACCTACATTCTGCATTGTTAATTGTGCTATGTATAATTTGCATGTACTGTAGCAATATAATAACATAGGTAAAAAAAGTAACTGAAACTAGAGGGCATGGGGCTGTGCCAGATTAATGTATCCCCAATTTCTCTCCTTCTCTCTTTTTTAAAAATCAGGGTAGTAATACATTCCTATGAAAGGAAATGGATAGGCCTGTCATTTGCTGTGAAAAACATTCCTCTTAAGAAAACACAAAAGGGGACTAGATGGTGCTATGCTAAGTCCCTATCTAACTCAACTCTACAGAAGGCTTGGAGAGAGCATTGGCAACCTCACTGACCACTGGATCAACTTCCATATTTTAGGAATGCAATTGTCAGTCATAAATAGAAGGTAAAAAGCAAGCTTATGTCTCCTAAAGCAACACTACTACATGCAAAAACATAGATGACATTAGATTGGTAACAAGGGTGGATGGGCTTCTAGATTTAGAGCTCTAAATTCAAAGGATTTGAACGTTTTACTAATGATATATTTCAGACTCCTTTTTTTCCACTGGCATTGATAAAAGTCTTATTTGAGGTTTGCCGCATTTCTTAAGGACTGGAAGCAAGACTGTTTATAGAGACCCTGGTGAGAGAATGCTGTTTGATGAATACTGGAGACTGCAGCTAGGTGTCAGCGCTTAGAAAACGAGGCAAGGACATGAGGTATTAATATTGTCAATGATCTCTTGACAGGAAAACAGATACTGCATTCACCATCAGATTTAAATAGACATCAAGTGCATTAATGACAAAAGGGCAGACTTCAAACAAAGGGGGCTGTATGGCACTGTGCTGAGCGAGTCTCCAAGTTGGCAATAACCTGATCTGAAAAGACACTGTCAGGACTATAGACAGGCCTAGAATTGTGCGCGGTGACAGAAAACAGAGATGCTGACAGAGATACCGGTGCCATATTATGCCAAGTATATTCTAACACTGTCTCCAGCCCTAACTAAATCTGACATCATTTCCTATCACTTATAGTATTCTCCACTGCTCCTGCAGAATATTTCTCCCCAGACATCATTACAAACTCCACTGTAGTTTTAAAGTTACTGGCAGGCCTGTTCTGTCATGGAGGTTGGGTCTAGAGGCCTAAGGATAACCTCAGTCAATCTAAATTTGGAGTTTGCTGTAGAAGTGCTCTCATTTTCACTGATATCTCAGCTACTTGAGGTGATCTGAACGCTAAAGTGTGAGGAGCTGTCACCTTGAATAAAATCCTTAAAGTAAAGACGCTCAGTTCCTGGGATGTTCAGCAAAGATGTCGGACAGTCTGGCAGCAGGAAATGAAATCCAGCTGCTGCTGCTCGCCTGGGGATAAAGGTGCTTGGGCTAGTGACAGTTAAAGTCAGCTGAAATTTTTGAACTCCTGCAGCCTACAATTGTTTAAATTAAGGAAGTGTTGTCTCCAAAGAGATTCCCTACCAAGGCACACAGCTGTGATTCAATTGCCAGGCGTATTACACACACTGCTCAGAGAGCCTTGATAAAAGCACAGTTGAAAATGTTGCCATGAGACTTTATTTATCATGAAGGTTATTTGTAAAACAATAGGCTTGGTCATAAATTAAATGAGGTGACTGTTTTGTTTTCTTTCTTCCTTTTCTTGTCTTCCCACCTCCCCCTGGCAACTGCACAAAACTGTGAAAATTATAAAGGGTTTATCTGCTGCAGTAAGAGTTTTGATGCTACGATATGCCATACATAGATTTAGGATACCTACTGTGTCTGACTCAGTAGAAGCCAGATTCCCATTGCATATCTACAACGTGTTCATTTCTTTGCAGCTCTACAGACGTACGTATGCGTGTGTGTGTGTGTGTGCGCATGCGCGCGCACACACACACACACACGTAGGAAAGAGGGTAAGGGGGCAACATGTTTATGGTGTTTTTAATTTAAAAACTATGCATTGATCATAAGAAAGCCATGCTTACTCCAGATGCATCAGAATGACACGCAGCATTTGGAATGAGCTTTCTGCTCAGGGTTCTTGAAAAATTACAGCATGAGGTCTCTTGAGGGATCATCTTCCCCTGAATGAGCCTCCTAATTTTTCTTAAATAGCCACTTCCACCATCACCATAAGCTGTTAAAACTATAATTATCAAAAAACTGCATTGGGAAGAATCATTTTTAAATACACCCTTTATCTTTTAAATGCTTCCCCCTTTCAGAATGGATGTTCTAATTATGCTTGGTAAGTAATGACCTTGCAGTTGCTTGTGTGTGTTGCTGTATCAGTCTTTCTTCACAAACACATTGTAATGTCAGCAACACAGGCTTTTCCTTAGCTGGGGGAAAACCCAATTATCCCAATAAATAAATTAACACATACACGCATACTAACACATGTGAAAAATTGCTCGTCATGTTCACTCCTTTTAAATTGGGTGTGTGTAGCAAGAAGCTATTGTGCAGTCACTCCTCAAGCCCCTTTTCTATACTAAAATACTCTTGTACTCCTTATGGTGTTTTTGATGGGAACCAGACAGTACAAAGACTTTGTATTGCAAAACTAAACAATGAGTGTCCAGGTCATCATTTCAAATTCAACCTGAGTTAGTTTTAAGTTATTACTATCTGGTTATATTTTGGTACCATTGCATAACTTGCTGAAATTTTTCCTGAATAAGAAGTGCTCCACATCACATAAAAACCCTCCTCAAGCATCACAGCTGGCACCATTGTTGTCAGTCTCAACAGAAAGGGCTGGGACAAAAATAAGGATGGAGATTAACTTTCTTTCCTTTTCTTTTTTTGCTACTGTTGGGTGGTAATCCTAGGGTATGTAGGATATTCCCCTCACTGGGGTAGCTGTATTTGAGGGTGATAATGCAATCTGACCATTATAAAACTATAACAAAACTTTGGAGAAGAGAAGACTGAGAGAAGATCTGATAGTAGCCTTCAACTACCTGAAGGGTGGTTTAAAAAAGGATGGAGCTGGACCGTTCTCAGTGTTGGCAGATGACAGAACTTGAACAATGGTCTCAGACTTCAGCAAGGGAAATTTAGGTTGGATATTAGGAAAGACTCTGTCATTAGAAGGGTGGTGAAGCGCTGGAACAAGTTACCTAGAGAGGTGGTGGAATCTCCATCCTTGGAGGTTTTTAAGATCTGGCTTGACAAAGCCCTGGCTGGAATGATCTAGGTGGGAATGGTCCTGCTTTAAGCAGGGAGTTGGACTAGATGAGGTCCACCCTGAGGTCCCTTCCAACCCTAAATTTCTATGATTCCATGAACAAGTGCTCCATTCACTGAAAAAAGTCATTCTTTATTTTACTTAAAGCCAAAACATTTGCCTTCAGGTTATTCCCTGATGTTTCACTGCATCTATACAGTGCCCCCCAGTATAAACCATTTGTTAGCACCAAAGTCCCGCTTGTTTATTTTTCCTAATGCCTAATGGATTTAATAATTTTGTGAAAGGTGCTATATGTGAATAATTGTGATACATGTGAAATGGTTAATTTTTCCCTTTTAAATGTGTGCCAAAAATAAATTTACTTACATTATTGATGTATAAGTAAACAGAAAGTCGTAAAGTACTCCATTACCATGTATGCCTTGCAGATGGATCCTAAACAGAGGTCCTAGCTGCTCATAGT